TGTTTTATTTTATGATGTTGTGTAGTGAATTTCAAGTGTGTAGCGTGTTTGATTTGTTTTATTAGTGTAGTGTAATGAATTTCATTTTTGAGTGTTGTGTAGTGTTTTCATTTTAATAGTGTAGTGTAGTGAATTTCAAGTTTGTAGCGTGTTTGATTTGTTTTATTACACTGCAGACATTATTCGGGTTCCCAGTGGGCAGGGAAAAATGATTGGGAGTATGATTTGTCATCAAATGGTCTATCACTCCACACCTGAGCCATAACACCCACACTACATATGTGTAGCAGGCTCAGTGAATATGTGGTTATCATGTACATACAGTTCTGCTCAGTTATCTGCTCATCAGGACAAGTTATTCATATGTAATACATGCTGTAACTTCTTTCAGATTGAAAAAAGCTTCCAAAAGATTGACTACATACACTGACTCAATGTTTTGGTGTGATCTCATCAACTCAACTGCATGTAACACACTTTCTGTTACTAAGACATAGCTTCAACAATATTGCCTGAGCAGCTACAGAATTATATGTAGTGAATTTTTGGGAAAAAAATTTCAAAGTCGAAAAAGTTACATGTGGTATAACATGTGATTTATTTATTCTGATGGGCAAAAAACTGAGCAGACCTGTATGTACATGATAGACAACTATTGACTTAGCTTGCTGCACATATGTAGTGTGGGTGAAATGGCCCAGGTATGCAGTATTAGATTCTTTTATGAAAAACTGTACTATTAATCATTTTCCTCTGCCAAATTGGGGAAGTTGAATGATGTTTACAGTGTTAGTGTAGTGTAGTGAATTTCATTTTTGAGTGTTGTGTAGTGTTTTTATTTTAATGATGTTGTGTAGTGAATTTCAAGTTTGTAGTGTGTTTGATTTGTTTTATTAGTGTAGTGTAATGAATTTCATTTTTGAGTGTTGTGTAGTGTTTTCATTTTAATAGTGTAGTGTAGTGAATTTCAAGTTTGTAGCGTGTTTGATTTGTTTTATTAGTGTAGTGTAATGAATTTCATTTAAAAATTCAGTTAATGTTGATTTAGGGGGAGGTCCAACGTTTAAACAATACTGCAGTTCATCTTCATCCGTAAAGTACACCAGTTGAGAGTCTTGCAAGTGAAGAGCCAACCTAACGACAAATGGGTCTTGACTGTTCATTGCGAATTGAAACAAACGATAGGCACCTGTGAAGAAAAATAATTAACGTCAATAAAACCCTCACAATGCAATAACACCCTACTTACACTCTGGTGCACTGATGTACCGATACTCTTCGAATTCTGCGATTTCGTCAATATAATCAACCTTGGTTCCGTCCGGATTCTAAGCAAGACCCAATTATCAGTCTCCTATCACTTGCAACAAACTTATGAGGCTTACATTCACTTTGATCTGGATACGTGTCCTATCATGCCCTTTGGTCAAATACTTATAAAGATACCTGACTGGTTTTGTGCCTAAAGGAATCTCTACATTTATATGACATTCAAACATCATGAGCAGATATCGATTGTATGAAACTACATTGGCATTTGTAAATGTGTTAGGCCCGTTCTTAAAAGTTTTACCGTCGTCTGGTTGTCGATAATTGTAGAATCCGCTATCAGAAATCGTAGTTTCTTCGCAAAACTGTTTCGGAAACTTGGCTTTGCATGCCCCATCTACCCAACATGGTTGCCTCTGACATGGGCCATGCAGCATGTGAGTTGTCACTAATTTGTAAAGCCGTGGTTCTTTCGTTTCATCTGGAATGACACAGGTAACTAAAGCATCAACTTCCGTTGCAGATTTCGGTTTGGTCTTTTCGTCCAGAATGCATAAGATATGCGCATGCGGTAGACCTCGTTTTTGAAATTCTACAACCATAAGGTGCGAGATAACTACTCCGAGTCTTTCATTCTTGAGTAATTCTTCACATAATTTAGATAATTTCAAATGAAAAACTCTCGCTACGATGTCTGGCCTATCCTGAGCTGTTTCGCCGTATCTCAACTCCGTCTGTATCTCTTCCCAATCTGGATTCGTCGTCATGGTGATAAACAATGAAGGGGTTCCATATTCTCGCACCAGAGCCATCCCATCGTGATATAACTCACTCATATGTCGTGGACCTGGATGAAATGAGGACGGCAAAATAATTGACCTACCGGTAGTACCAGCTGGATCATTGAACGCTTCCTTGACTCCTTGATATGATTCAGCTTTAATCGTTTTCTGATTGTTTCTTATCCACCTTAGATTATTCCCTTCTACGCAGACGTATAAGTCCACGATGAATTGTTGACTTAAACGACGCCCGTGGATGAAAGGTGAAAAGCGACCTTCCCTCTCAAACAACAACCACGCAGCCCATTGCAAGTCGGACACTGTATAGTTTTCGCGTTTACCTACATGTCGACGACGTGATCAACATGGTGAAATATTCGTAATCTGGGATTAATTTACTTACAACCTGGGTTTGTCCCTTTTGTCGGGGATTCGTACATCCCATCCCATTGTTGGGACCCGTACGGCAGCATTAGCGGATATCTCAGCCCCATATAACCAGAATTGAGGTCCGTAATGTGGTCTTGAAATCCATCCTTATGTCGGAGTAAGACATCTCGAGGCATCCTTTCCACTTCCCCGTTTCCCTGAATCAAAGCGGCAACGTCCTCGGGGCGGGGCTTGTTGTAAGTCTTCATTTCTCGTTTTCCTGGTGGCAACGATTTCAAGATGACCCGTGCAGTTTTGTCGGAATTTATGATCTCGGCCACGCCCTTGAGGAAAACCGCGTAAGGATTTTCTTTGTTGATAATATCCTGGATCAGTCTTAGAGTTTGTCTGTTCACTTTCTTTTGTTTTTTGTACTTAGGGTTGATTAATTTTCGTTCTCGTAATGATACCTCTTCTTTGCCTCCATCCCCGACGATAAAAATTTGAGCAAAGGCTGCCTCTTCCCCGTCGACGGGAAGCAAGGATCCTATGTTATGGTTTAGTTGACCATTTATACGAAAGGTATAAGTCCCTTTTTGACCGTTCACTGAATTGTCTATTTTTGCCCCAAGTGAAGCAAACGAAACTAAATTGTTATATGTCGCAATGTTGGTTTGGAATTCCTGTGCAACTGTAATCGACCATCAATTTAAGAACATCACACAGCATAAGCTCTCACATACCTGTGTCAGTTCCAGTGTATAAATCCATCAACGGTTGCGGCAATAAAGCCTCCTCAAAATAAGCTAATGGGAGCGTCACATCGCCCTTCTTACAACAGTTTTGAAAGATCCGTGAGTTCGATTTCTGATGAGCCTTGGTTCTTTCCTCCGACCACCTATACGCAAAACAGTATTGACACGTTATATTTGCTGGGCCCAGTTTATGCGGAAGGGCTCCTTTAAATCGTTCGAGTAATTTTGATTCAGTATTGTCGTGTTCAGTGATGGCCGCTGGGCCGGGAGGAACACTCATATCTAAGTTGCGGACAAAGTGTTTATGGATTTAAAAATGCAGTGTGTCGTAGGTGTTGTCTATGGTCTCATGAAGCGGACAACGAAAAAGATCGCGACATCTCTACACGTACACCGTTGACGCCAAGATTAATACACAATATACAACAGTACAAACACACCTGCATGAAGTAAGTCAGAATGGATCTTGTGATACATACCATCAAAGTACATGCGAACAAAAAAAAAAGACTTAGGATTCACTATAGGGAAATGTCCGTCTTGTTGAGCTTTCAAAATTGGCAAGTTACATATATCTCACCCCAGGCTTATCCCTCTGGAACTTCTCGCAGACGTTCAATACCATGTAAGTATAAACCATGAGGAAACTCAATATTACCCAGAGAATGAGGACAGTGTAGATCTCCTCTTACAATGTAAAATCTTATCTGGCGCAAGGGACAACTAAGTCAGATAAAGTCAAAAAAAACATCTAAAGGTTCAAGATAGGTATTCTGTAAAGTAAACGGCATGAAATATATGGCATGTACCGGACTCATTGTCTGCGATCCAGATATCTGGTCTCAACATACTGAAAACTATGAAATTTGAATGAGAGTTTCATTACACTAAGAGGAGCAAGAGTTAGACAGGAATTGTAATTGGATCCAGAATAACATGATATCCGCAGATCAGAGGTCAAAACCAAAATGAAGGAGAGTGAAAAATTTCTTGATGAGAGTGGTGATAAAGCATAAGAATGGGTGTGTAATTTCACGTTGTCAATTGGACTTAAAATCAAATTTATATCCGGACGCATCACACGGGTGGGCAGCACAACAGGTTTATCATCGTTCCATGCTACATAGTAAGACATGTCCCGAACATCAGATGTCGGCATCAGAGGCGGTGCCTTTTGGCCTTTTTGGCACTTGACGAATAGGGACAGGCTTTCCAGAAGACTTCCCTTTGCCTTTGACATTGGGGTCTTCGTCGGCAACTTGAGCAGAGCCTGACGTCGAAGCCAATGGCCCAGTCCCGTTTGATTCCGTGAAGATCCTGAACAATGATGATACAATCAGCGACAGAAAACATAGATGTGAATACCTTTACTTACATTTTCGCACGTTTTCGACCCCTTGGTGTAGCACAACTTGATGCGCCATCTACAGTCACAGGTGCCGACACATTCTCTGAACCACTTGTAACGCTGACCCCGGTCATCTAAGAAAGATAGGCACTTGGTCAGTGACGTTGGGGGACCATATGGTGAAGTGGGAGGATGACAAATACTCAACCTGGACAATCCACATATCCTCATTTTCATTGCGACCTACTATATGGCCAGTAAGCATAACCTCTCGACCTTCCGTCATTAATGGTTGAAGTTTCTCCATGAGTTTTGACCACATGGCACGGTACTCGACTTTGAAAGTGGATTGAGCTTGAATCTAAAATCATGTATGTCAGTGGATCGAAAAGTATAAAGTAGAGGATGTAGACTTACGTCTGGATTATAATCGGAATGTTTGACAATGAGAAAGATGTTTTCTTTTCCAGGCTCGACTGGATCAACAACACGCGTCTCGATTATGCCCAGACCTGTAACACTTACGCCGTTTGCCAAATTGAAAGGTAAATTTTTGGAGGTGTTTGCTAAAAGTTGAAAGTCGGGTTCGTAATAAAATTTCTGGGTCTCCTTTTGATTCAGAGCCAACAACCTTCCCTTAAGACAATAAACACCGTCGACATCCAGTATACCATCAGTGCCACCATATGCTACACATTTTATTACCCATTCTACAGAATCACCACTCCCGTCGCGGGTAACGATCGTAGTGTGAGAATGCCGAAAACCGTACATGCCGCTGACTTCGGGTCCGACCTTCAACGACAATTTAATTTATTAGAAGACGTAATATTCGACATTCGACGGAGCTTACATTTTCAAAGACATCAAAAAGAGAGGAAACAATAAATGGATGATTCTTTCTTTTAACGGTGATCCCACCTCCAGTCTTCGCTCCACAGTTGGGGCTTCGGTTGGCAGGGGATTGAATGGTGGCCATGACCTAAAAGTGATGAAGCACGATATCAGTCATGTATAAAAACCGGTGCAATAACTGAATATATTCACGTCTAAATGAGAAAACCGATGGGTCTAAAGTATCTGTATGAGGTCACAATTCAAAACCGAAGAGGTATTCTGCTAAACAAAGAATCCGAGGAATGGAGGACATCAAAAGTGGGCGTAGGATAGCAACAATTCGGACACGTTTAGTTCGGCTACAGTTCACGTATATGATTAGGAACGAAGGTGGGTGGAAAGATAGAGATAAAAATGAACCCAAATTCAGTTTATAATCGAAGGATTCACACAAATGAACTGGACAATGTTGAAACAACACAAAGCCGAACGGTGTCAAGTGAATCAAGTGAATAGTGACGGACGCATTTCAAACTTTCAGGCAAAGGTTGGAAGGTTTTATACCAGAAACCAAGAGGCGTCGTAAGACTTCACGCAACTCCAATCACACGAAACCCCTGACCGTAGGATCCATAGACCTACCATCAAGGGGGAAGTACGTCACTACAAACTGGAGTGAATGAAATGCAGGAGGATCATGTTAGAGATATGACATGATCCAATTAACTGAACCGATGGGAAAGAAACTTGCGATGTTGTCGACTGTTGGTTGGACCAAAGTCAGTGGGAAGAAATAGATGATAAGTTAGACATAGGTACTCTCAGCAACACGTAGAAAACCTGCAAGATTCAAATTAAGTCGGTCGTGTAGGGAGGGGTTTCACGCGAAGAATAATGAAAAGGTGGGGAAGCAAAATCTGATCAAGGGCGTATGTGTATCATAATGTGGTAGATTACTACTCATAGTAAAACTTCGCGTAAAGAGTAAGTGCAACCGGTGGGACATGCCGAAATAAGTTCAGATATATGTATCACATTATTGTACATTGATACATGACGGGCTGATCAAGAACATTCAGACGAGGTATGTAAACAGGCAGGATAATGATCCAATGGGTAGCATGGTAGACAAATACGCCATATAAGCAAAGTATCTGTAAAAGTCAAGCAGTCTGGCGGATGAATTTTGAGATCAGGGTTGTAGATGTAGCCAACATGAAGCATAGGGCTTTCTGAACCTCATACAAATGCAAAATGTACAACAGTGTGGACTTGTGAAAAAGAGACCGAGAGGGCGTGGCCTAAATTTGTGCGATTCTAACTTCGGGCAAGCTCCGGTGAAGCAAACAGATAGTGAATGTGTAGCATTTGCCTGAAGTTGCGTTTGTGAGGCGCCCAGTTTGCATGATTGGTCTTGCCTTACCGCGTGAATCTAGATAAAAATAGTGTCAATGGTGTTCGCTGCATAGATGATTAAATGAGTGCTGACCCTGAATGAAGTCAACGAGCATATGACCTAAGAGGTCCAACTCTACACGGTTGTCAGCAAGCGCAAATGTCTTCCAATTCACCCAACCAAAGCCGGAGACATAAGTTGAGTCTAGTGATTGTGTAGGATGCATTAGATTGAGAGCAAAAACGAGACAAAATTTAGGTAGATTGTATAAATTTGAGACCAAATGGATGGATCAATAATTCAAGTGTGATTTATATAGGTATTACTGGAACTGAGAATGTGAAATGAGGAATGCAATGATTATGAAGAGAAGGGTAGAGGGACTAAATTGGAAGAGAAAGGTTAAGCCGGTAATCTTGTTTAATATAGATGACTAAACGACTGGATACAATATCATGAGACATACCCATTACAGCAATAGACCCAACAGAAAATAAGCAATCGATGCACAAAAGTTTCATAAGCAGTGAGGTGTTTCCGACATTGGCAAACCGGGACGATTTAGGCAGCGACGAAATATGCATTTATCGCATTTAGAAGAGGCATTTAGGAATGGCCACTAAGAAAGAGGAATACGAGTAAACCAAAATGGAAATGAAATCGAATGTAATTAACAAAGCCGGAATAGAAGCACAAAAGTGCCAAGGTTCGACAATAACATAATAAGCAAAAGATGTGGAAACATGAAAAGCACATATCGAGAAAGTATGAAAGAGGGCTCACATGGGTTTAGTCGAGATGAGATCAATGGTCAGTTTGGGAAAACGAAAAGGCTAAGCGACCATTGTCATATTAAGATATATAAGAATACACCGTTGAGATCAGAAAACGGAAAGATGAGAAAAAATTAATACCAAAAGTGGTACACGAAGAGAACAAATCATTGTACGAGGGAAGAATAACATTATGATTGATGATGGTCTACAAAAGCACATTAGACGGAAGAAGAGGGTGACAAAAAGATGACGGAAAGCACACATTGAGACATGCGAAAGCACCAAATAGATATATATACGGAATAGGAAGAGAGAGGAAGGGTGAAAGAAAGACGTCAGGTGAATATAAAGCAACATATTAGACAACGAAAGCACAATGCTATAAGAGCAAAAGATCAAGGTCAATAGTGCACAGAGCACTGGTAAAAGTACGTAATGACAAGGAAGACAAAGGCTAATATGTAAATGATACAGGATCAAAGCAGATCAAAGCAGATAATGAGAGCATTTAGGAAAGCACCATTGTAAAAGCACATCACGATATCACAAATAGACAGCAAGATGGAACCAGGAGCATGAGACAAAGCACACGTGAAGAAAAGCGGAGAAAGCTAATGGATCGATCAAATAGGAAGAGGAAAAAAAAAGAAATGCAACCTCAAGGTGAATGACAGGCGACAGACAAAGCGAAAGCACATTAAAAAAAGCGTGCAAAAGCAACATAAATGACAGAAAGCACAACCTTAAACCAAGTAATGAGACCAGAACGAAAAGCAAATTGTCAAAAGCTAAAGATTAAAAGCAAATAGTGGAGGGAACGAGGAAAGCACTTTGATAAAAGCACGTAGCAATAGCAAAAATTTCAGTATAAATAGCGGCTGAAGATGAGGCAAAAAGAATCATGGACGTCAAGCCCCGACTACACCGTAAAAAGTGAGTCTAACGTGAGCTCCGACTAAATCTGCATTACCCCGCCAAAGCCATGATTCCATGTCCCATGGTTTCAGGCTTTGGGGGGGTGATTGCAGATTTAGTTGGAGGTAATTATGTGTGGTTTGAACCAATGTGACTTTCAGACTAAAGTATTGGCGAAGGTTAGTATCTGAATCTACACCACATCTCGAACCTTCAAGCTTATTTCATCTTTTCTATACTTGATAATGGTCAGATGTGTAATCAATCCAATGAACTCACAATCAATTCACTACAACTCAGCTCATTCTCGATCCTCTCAACTAAAACATGGCAGCAATAGCGCTGGATTCAAGCAACACGGGCTCTCAATCAGTGGTTCAGCAGCAGGTCCCGGTCTTAATTCAAATCATGAACAATTCAGATAACCACACTCAGAACACCCATTCTTCTCTTCCCATTCAAATCCATTGCATACATATGCACATACATTGGACAATCAGACACTTGAACTCAGCTTTGATAATTTGATTTTCAATGTTTATTTTATATCCATGATCAGAAATGGAAGTCAATACTTTGTTACCCAGCTTTACTCAATGGCGGCCAAAAATTATTCCAAGATTGAGGATGAAGTGGCTCGAGGTGAATTAAAGTTGAACTGATAGTCATTTTTCCGTCCCAACTACTGACTAAACTCTTGGTTTGACATTCTGATTTGATTCAGCTCAACAGAGACTTGAAAACCATGATCTCCTCTCAGGCCAAAAAGAACTTTCTTGTTGAAAGATGTCAGGTATCTTGATTCACGGGTCGTGTTGCTAATTCAAAATGTAAGTGATTGAAAGCTATCTCTTTTCCCTCAAATCCATTCAGACCTCTGTGTTGACACGTCTTTTTTAGACCTCTTTTGTAGCAAATGGCCTTGGATGCGAGGGAAGAAGTTCAGCAGCATCTCGAAGAAGCAGACAAATGTGAGGGACTTGATCTAGATGACAGAGGGACCCAGTGAACCTTTTTGATCACGCCAACTGACTCTTGATTCTCTTAGCTTAACAATGTCGGTTTTCCCGTATGTAGCAATACACAAAGCTATTCTTCTCACTTCAAGGCGATCTGTCTTGATTCGCTGCCTTCAGTAGATTTAGTTTCCATGGGCAGATCGATACTCTCTTTCAAACTGTGCTGTTCACGCTCAATGGTCATCAGTTCAAGAATCAAGACTGGTAAGTCAGAGATCCATGGTACAAGCGATGACGAACTTCTTCGAGGTCCGTCTGGCCTAGGGATCTGTGATTTGTACTTTTTGTCCTTATTCAATTCTCAGATTAACGAGATTCTGGATCTGCTTTCAATCATCAAAACCTCTACAATTAGAATAACAACTAACTGATATCTGAAATTATCTAGATTAGTCTCTCGTGAGGAACTTAAAACTGGTTATCATTATCAAATTCAGCTTCAACAAATATAACTTATGATCATCATTCGAATGACATCGACTTCAGTTTTCCCTTTTCAAAGGAGGAATGTCTAACTGTAAGATGTTCAAAAATAACTAAACATGGCCATCGCATCTGTAATAGGATCACGAAGTAATGAAACCACTGGAATCTAACCCATCAAGTATTTAACAATAGGTCTTTTGATCAAATTTTAATTGATTAGATTATCAATCAAAGATTTCAAAAGTCAAGGAAGAATGCATGGTTTAGACAATTAAGGGAATGGATCTGATTGAAAGAAATTCAAAGCTTTGGAGAATGATAATTTGAAAAAAGTTGGAGATTCTTATTGGCGGCTTAATTCGATCTTGATCATCATCGTGGATTGGTTATTCAGAGTAGGTTTTGATTTTTCTAGAATTGATTTCAATACTAGAGATCACCAGAGATCACCAGAATCATCATTATCATTACAAGTTAAAGGACAACTATGGATTAGTTTATCCATGTGAGTCCATGCATCAACTAATCATTTTATTTTCATACTGATTGGAATAAATCCACCGATAGTGCAATTTTTTGGTTTCGAATCACAACATATGAACGCACCACCTGTGATTCAAGTTATTTCCATCGTCTTAAATTGTTTAGAAGGTTAGTAGTTTATCATTCAACCATTTTACAAATCTTAATACACAGCTCATCCAACATCAACCAAATTTGTCTAATAGAACAGGAGACTCATCCTCTTTCTATGATTCGACCTACAATCATTATTCCAATTTGATTCAATAAAAGAACACAGCCGTATTAGAAGAAACCAGAAGTCTGATAATGTCGATGCTGATAAGAATGATAAAGAAGAAGACATCGATCAATCTATCGCTAGCGATATCAGAATCTTTAATCAAAGTAGGTAATACTACCATATCAATCACGCATTCAACTTCTCTGCCAGCATTCTCATACTCATCATGGAATCAAAAGCAAAAATAAACCAAACCAATCAAAGTATAACTTATTTCACATTGAAAATGATGAATCATACATTCTAACTATCATCCCACTTACACCTTACCCAGCCCACAACTTCGCCCAACTGATTGCCCATTTGAAACCCAATCTCAACCAAACTCCTTTATCTGAACAATATAGGTTTGATAATTATTATTATGAAAAAGGAGGATGTGTTTTCTCATCAAATGGTAAAAATCTTCCAACTCACTACGAACTGATTAGAATCGCAAATTGGTCAAATCAATGTTTCAACTTACGCGATTTGGCAACCAATAGCTCTCATATCAATCCCGCTCCTTATTTCAATGCACATCATTGTAGATGGAGGTGTGTACAGACACCTACGTTCTGATCACTTCACCAATTGGTCATATTCAAACCCAAAACAAACACTGATTTTTCTGTTGTTTCTTACCAGTTTTGGTCTTGCATCGAAGGATCCTTGGAATGAGTTAATTCAAAGTGTTCACATCAATCCAGAATTGGCTTTGACGGTCTTGGGGTAGACTTACCTACCTTTGCGAGATTATCACCAATTCTTCATGCATTTTGTTAATTATTCATGTTGACATTGCTTTCCAAGTCAGCCTCTCAAGTCCTATCGACCCATCTTTGATCAAAATGTCAAGTTCAAAGACATTGTCAACTTATGTATTGGCTGTGCAATGAGGTGTGTAGCAATCAGGTTGTGCATCTTATGATATCATATGTCCATTGGACTTCTCCTTCTTCAATCATCCTCATTCTCCACCTTTGAAATTAAATTACATTCAACAACAACAACCACTTCTTCTTCATCAAGATTGGTCAATTCAGATTCAATCACCTTCATCTCAACTTCAAGGATCATTATCCACTACTCCTACCAATCAAGTTCATCCTGATATGAATGATTAATATATACCTCCAAACAAACCTAGATCTGCATCTGCATCTTTCAATGAACATCCTAACACCTGACTTCAAAATATCACATTTCAATTGATCTCAAACATTTTATAGGATTTTTGTCAAAGGTGTCGCATTGAACTCATCATTACATTTTCATTTTGAAAGAACTGATCAACATCATTTTTCTAAAGTCTTTGACTTTGTTCAAAATAATTGGACAGGCTTCAACAGATTGGGTTTCTATCCTCAAGGGATTAACCCAATGAGTGGTTTGACAAATGAAAATCTCAACTGTAGACTCACTTGAAGTTGAATTCAAATGAACATGATTTGATTTCAAGTTGATGCTCAATGATAAATTATCAAGCTCTTTTCAATCAAATTACAGTTGTAGGATCAATACACAGTGATGGACAACTCAGCCCTTCTCTCTTTTTGTACTCTGCAATGCATTTCTTCATCATCTTTTTGTCACCTGGAACACTTGTCATCATAGACTGTGATTCATTGTAGATTCATCTTATTGTCATCTTACCGTCATCATCATTTATTTCTTTCTCAAACATTTATCTTTATTATTGAGGCATAATCAATGTCTTGCTGGTGTACAATGATATGTTCTTCAAAAAAGAAATTGCAAAGAAAGTTTCAACAGCTGTCTCATGGCACCAATGATGAACTCTCGATCAAGAAGTTTGATCAATCAATACCTGCAAGCCTCTTTCAACCATTTCTCAGCATTCATTTCAACTCTTGTTCATCTTCCCCAAAGCATTCCTCACAATTCTCAACTGCCAAGTGATCCAACATGTGTACTTGATAGATTTTTCATCTCTTCAAAAGTCTTGTGTTGTTCATGTCCAACAACACTGAGACAGCTAATCTATCCGTAGCTGATAGCGCAAGATAGCGTAGCTAGAAACATGCTGCAAAGCTACAGCTAGCAGGAATCAGCATGAATGAATCCCAGCTACCCTACGCAGAGTCCCAGAAAATCTCCAGCTAACCAATTTTTGGCCCTGTAGCGTAGTGTAGAGGCACAAAACTCAGCTACAGTAGCTTGTAGCGTAGCGTAACTTGAAAAGTTACACTATCATAAAGGTCAGATCTGTGTTAACTGCATACAGTTACGCTACATACAAAATGCATGGTAGCGTGTTGTAGCGTAGCTGTCTCAGCGTTGTGTCCAATCCCTCCTACACTTTGATATGTAAGTCAATTTCAGGCTACATATGGAGCAATCTATATGCTCTGCTTCTGCAGCCTTGAAAGGCCCTTTTGACCTGGTAGGGACCAGGCTTAATGATGGACCGTCTACACATCAGATGAGTTATACATTCCAAAGGGAAAGGTTTACAACAAAGTGTAGTATTTGAAGTACTGGAGAGATTAAGCACATTGAGAAATACATTCCGTCATGACTCAAATGTGCACCATTTACAGACATCATTTACACAGTAACTTGTCACTCCATTGAGGGTATTTAGAATAAATACTGATTTCCCTCTCTTACGGTAACACATCTCTCCTTGAGCATTAACCAAATCAATTTCTCCATTTTCTTCTGCCCCATCATCTGATTATCTATCTTGATCTGATTTGTGAAATACATCTTGATTATACTTCTTTTTGATCACTTTAATCTTGACAAATACAAATCATCCAAAAGTTTGTGATAATTGATCCTCTTGAGTATGATTTTTTTTCTGATTTTAGAGTGATTGAAGAACAGAATATTTCATTTGATGTCTAAAATGAGGAAATATCAACATGAAAATTAATCAACATCACACTTTAAGTACTACTAACTCATGCAAAGATTTTACAACAAAATGTAGCACTGCCAACATATTGACCTCGGATTTGGAAATCTGAGGTGTTCTTGGATCTGAAACCTTGGACAGGACCTTTCCGAGGTTATGATCTGAGGTAATCTTTGGCACATAATGATACCTCGGACAGAAACCTTGGATAAGATCTGTCTGACAATTTGCATCCAACAATACCTCGGATCTCCCGATCCGAGGCATCTATGTTGGCGGTGTAGAGATATCTGGTCAGATCTCAAGTGAAGCAACAGGGTCTTTCCCCTCAATTTCAACACAATCATGTTTGAATTCAACATTGTAATTTCTCAGTTCTCTCTTTACCAGTAACCATTAAATTCCCATCACCACCAGTAACAATAACAATAACAATACCACAACATTTCATTTCTGATGATTTGCAAAACTTTACTCAACTTAATATATCTTGCAATTCATTCAAGTTCATGGTCACACATTTTCAATTTCTTCATCAAAGGTGCCCATCATACTATGGAAGTCTTGGAAGCCCTCACTGTACCTGTATGTGGAATTGAATCACCCTGCCGGAAACCATTTGGTACACATGTATCTTTGTCATGATCACACTTTGTATCCTTTCCCTATCTTTATGTGATAGATTTTCTGAGTGAGCTATCTCCTGTGTCAATTGACCAGTTACAATCAAAGCTTCAAGTTATAAAGAACAAAGTTGAACGTTGGTATCAATGTAATGTCATCTTGCCAGTTTCCCCCAAAACAATGTCCTGAATGGGTGACGTTTGATCCATTATAGCCTCCACATTCTTTGCAAATGGACCTCAGATGAGCCCCTCTTAGGAACGCGGCGCCCGCCGCCCAATATGGCTAGTGAAATGAAATTGCAAAGTCAACTATCAATAAATTCAAACAAATTCATCAAAACTTTTACCAGAACACTTCAACTTCCAACTTAAGCTTCAACAAAATTCTTTTGATCTCTTTCAAGTTGACAAATTATCAAAACTAATTCAATACACGTCATGGACAAGTCAAGTTGTCATCCAATCTTCCTCACCCATTTCAAATATACGGTTCACTCATTTCATTATAACTTCATCTTACATACTCTCAATCGGATTTGGTCAATCATGACCTAGACCATGGCAAACTGTTAGCTTAACAAAGCCCTCTCTGCGCGGCCACGTCCGCGCGCCTCGCAGAGGGGCTTACGACTAATCGTCGATTTTTGGCGTGAACACTCCAAGCGTTAAGTGGCCTTATGTTGTTTTTTGCATTTCAACGCTTCCCTCGCAAACAAACACCACTTCACCCTGCAGGGAAAGTGGTTCACCAATGTTGTCTACATATTTTCATCTATTCATCATCTAGGAAAACCTGCTTCATCATGCTTTTTTTGAGCTTGATTGTGAAGCCCTTATGTCTCACTAGTAACATAGCTCACGGCTTGTATTCACACTTTAAGTGTTTTCGAGGACTTCTTTATGTCTGAAAGTCAAAAATTAACCCAAAAGCCCGCTGTACAGGCGGGATTAGTGAAAATCTTCAAACCTCTTTTGTGGCCGCATCACTCAGAGTATCCATGGTGTTAGGCCATGAGGACATGTAGAAAGCATTTAAGAACCACTTTCCCTGAAGGGTAAAGCGATGTTTGTTTGTGAGGGAAGCGTCAAATTGCAAAAAACAACATAAGGACACTTAACGCTTGGAGTGTTCACGCCAAAAATCGACGATTAGTCGTAAGCCCCTCTGCGAGGCGCGCGGACGTGGCCGCGCAGAGAGGGCTTTGTTAAGCTAAGGCAAACTGTAGGTCAACGTCCTTTCACTTCTTGAGTTAAGCATAAGTGCAGTTTTATCTCTATAACTGATGTCATTGTTCTATTCATCAAAAAGCTCAATACCATCCTTCAAGATCCCAACTCTTCTTCTTCAATGAATGTTTGCAAATGTCCCTCGGTGAATTCAAATCCAATGATTATTATATGTATATCAAAATGGACGCATATCAATGTTTCACTAGGTCTCATCTATCGCTTTTCGTGGAACCAGGCTTTGCTCAAACCTACCTCCAATCTGGTCAGATGGCACCTTACCCAAATCTAGATTATCAATCATTCAAACTTTATAACCAAGCATTCTTCTCAGCCTCGGTCTGATTGCGTTGTCAAAATGTTCAGTTCCTCATGATGATTTTTTTGCTGTCGATGGATATGGTTCACATCTAGCTCACTTTTCATTCTCAATCTTCATATTCTTTGAGCTGATCATCTTTTGATGTCCATAAACCTAACCTATAGGCCAGATTCATACGAGGCTCAGTCTACAGTCGTTCATAAATCCAATAAGTCCGTTTTGAGTTTTCAAACAACTGTGGCGCCTGTACAGAGCGACTGTCAAGTTGATGAAGAAAGGGACTTCTTCGTCGGCTGACAAGCTGATTTTTCGCACCAGATCAATTCAGAAGCTCCGGATCAATCCCATTTGATACTACAAGCCGATTCCATTTTTTTCACTTTTTACACGTTTTATACCCTCAGATGATGCATTTCCACCATTTTGGAACAGAAGAAATCATCCAACAAATTCAATCAATTTTGGTAAGGTACCCAGAGCACCTAAAGTGATCTGATATGCGGTCAGAGCGCTCTGGCCGCATATCAGATCACTCTCAGTGGTCTGACTCACTCAAATCATTTGAAACTATTTGTCAATTTCAAACCAAGTCATTCAACTCCTTACATTTTTCTCACATTTACTCAATTACTAACATTCCCTTTCTGTTTGTTTGTGTGTGCATAGATTAGAAAATC